TGCCTGCAACACTGACAAGACAGTAACACGTGTTGCCTGCAACTCTGACAAGACAGTAACATGTGTTGCCTGCAACTCTGACAAGACAGTAACATGTATTGCCTGCAACACTGACAAGACAGTAACACGTGTTGCCTGCAACACTGACAAGACAGTAACACGTGTTGCCTGCAACTCTGACAAGACAGTAACATGTATTGCCTGCAACTCTGACAAGACGGTAACATGTATTGCCTGCAACACTGACAAGACAGTAACATGTGTTGCCTGCAACTCTGAGCAGTGTATCAACAACGCGTCATGTAGGGAAGCTAGTGCAATAGTTCTCAGACCTTGCGCGGGTTCGAGGGCTTCTAGCCGTGACATTCAGTCAGAAGTTTTGCTATTTGTCCGCAAACTGGCACTGGCCAGTTTGTAGTTTAGTTGATTACTAGTTAGTACAGTTTGGTAGGTACAGTTTGGTAGGTACAGTTTGGTAGGTACAGTTTGGTAAGTACAGTTCGGTAGGTACAGTTTGGTTGGTTACTGTGCAGGATAAGCGTGTTGCAGGCTAAGCTCTTCATTAGAATACAGTGTAAGGAACACGTAAGCAGCATTCACGTCTGCGGCTCTGCGGGTGTAGTGTATGGGGGCTATGCGGGTGTAGTGTAGGGTCTGCGGCTGTAGTGTATGGTGTCTACGGCTACAGCGTATAGGGTCTACGCCTGCAGTGTATAGGGTCTATGCCTGTAGTGTATAGGGTCTATGCCTGTAGTGTATAGGGTCTACGCCTGTAGTGTACCGTATAAGGTCTACGCCTGTAGTGTACCGTATAGGGTCTACGCCTGTAGTGTACCGTATAGGGTATACGCCTGTAGTATATAGGGTCTACGCCTGTAGTGTATAGGGTCTACGGCTGCAGTGTATAGGGTCTACGGCTGCAGTGTATAGGGTCTGTCTCTTATACACATCTAGATGTGTATAAGAGACAGCCGTTCTCCCTGCTACGAACTGTATTTTGGGAACCGATAACGTCCTCTGATAGCAACGGATGAATACGTTGGGGGTGCTCCAGAAACCGTTGCGCATTTCGTGCACTGCATTGACGGTGTCTTGGGGAACAGGGCTGGCCCGATCAGTGGGGCCTTCACTAGATCTGACACCAAGTCGGAGGGCTGCATGCCCTTAGTGACTTCTTCGCGGCATTTAACTTTGTTGAAGTTGACTTTAGAACCCAGTGAGGTGAAGGCTGGGGTGAGGGTGGACATGGCCAGGTCGATGATGCCCTGTAGGTGCTTGGCGGTCTGCTTGCCCTCCTTGCGGAAGAACTCGGTGGCGTGCTTCGCCATGCCCAACACTTCCATGGTTTTACCGACGGAGTCGAAGCGGAACCCGTATGACGCGGTGGTGGAGAGGGTGTTGGCGAGGGTCTTACTGCAGGGGCGGAAGGCCTTGTCCAAATGTCCTCCCAGTAGGGACAGGTTTTCGTTCTGGTCCTCCTTCCAATCTGCGGCCTCCGCGTATTTCTCGTGCGTGAGTGCAGTGAAGGCGCGTCTGAAGATGAGGAAGTCGTCCTGGGTGGCTTCCGGTTTAAATAGGCGGCAGCTGGCGAACAGGTCCTTGCCAGTGATGGCGGCGTTGTCGTTTGCTGGTCTGAACAATTTCGTGTTTCTGACCTGCTTCGTCTTGAAGCTTGCTCTGTTGTATAAGACGCCGTCAATGCGCCGCGCCACCCTGTTGTTCGAATTCGGGACCCCTCGTAGTCGGGGATGACTTACCATTTCTCGTCCTCCGTGGAGGACTCCTCGGACTCGGAGAATGTGATCGGGGTGACGTTGATGGGGGACGCTGGCAGTCTCGCTCGAGCTGAGAGCGGCGGGTGTTGGTAAGGATTGAGAGGGCGTTTGTTGGGGCACGACCTGTGGAGATGCTGGTTGCACAATCTGGGGAGCTCCTGGTTGGTGGACCTGCGGCGGGAACACCTGGCTTGCAACTTGTTGGCCCGGGGTAGGATCCGCGTAAGATTCATCAGGCTGAGAAGGTGCCACCGCTCCAGAGCAGCTGCGGTGGCAGGGATGATGGCAGCTGCGGTGGCAGGGATGATGGCAGCTGCAGTGGCAGGGATGATGGCTGCTGCGGTGGCAGGGATGATGGCAGCTGCAGTGGCAGGGATGATGGCAGCTGCGGTGGCAGGGATGATGGCAGCTGCAGTGGCAGGGGCGGTGGCAGCTGCAGTGGCAGGGATGATGGCAGCTGCAGTTGCAGGGATGATGGCCGCTGCAATGGCAGGGGCGGTGGCAGCCGTAGCGAAGATAATATATACCTACATATAATTGTTTTATTATACAGTTATATTATCATGTTAAATAATTGGTAGGAGGTAACTGAAGGTAATGATGTGCTGGAGGTAATTGTAGGTACTGTAGTGCTGGAGGTAATTGTAGGTACTGTAGTGCAGGAGGTAATTGTAGGTACTGTAGTGCAGGAGGTAATTGTAGGTACTGTAGTGCAGGAGGTAATTGTAGNCATATAATTGTTTTATTATACAGTTATATTATCATGTTAAATAATTGGTAGGAGGTAACTGAAGGTAATGATGTGCAGGAGGTAATTGTAGGTACTGTAGTGCAGGAGGTAATTGTAGGTACTGTAGTGCAGGAGGTAATTGTAGGTACTGTAGTGCAGGAGGTAATTGTAGGTACTGTAGTGCAGGAAGTAATTGTGGTATGATGCGTGACTGTGGTATTACAACTTTACTTCTACACCTTCCTCTTCAATCCACATAACTCGTTACTTGGAACTGTTGATGTTCTTTTAGGTGCATTCCGGCATTTTCTAAACGTGCTCTCTTCAATACATTCAGGGTCAGGGAAACTGATATTTTTTCACCAATATTACCATAGACATTCATTTTCAATGCACTTCCCTCACACAGCTAATAATCTGTATAGTCTTTTCCGCACCATTTCAGCCCATTTCCACCTCCTTGTAAGGCAGAGAGCCGACGATTAAAATTTTCTGTTTTGTGTTGTCCGTCTTGAATTTTAATTTTATTCCATATAAAATCTATCTGAGCAGATAACAAAGTGACTAAAATGTCATCTAGCGATGACTTTTCGACTCCTGTTAAACGATCTGTTAAAAAGAAAATGAAGAAAACCGTGTGGGTTTTGCCTGGCCTTACAATGCTGGATGACAAAGAGGAGCAATTGCAGAATAGAGGGAGCAGGGGCCCTCCACAAGTTGAGCCAACTTCTGAAAACCGGAGCAGCAAAGCTGAAAAAAGACGCAGGACCCATCAAAGAGAAGTCAGGAAGAGAGAGTCTGAACAACAGCATGTTGGCGAGTCCTCTATCGCTTCCGCGCCATCGAGCAGCAAAGCTGAAGAAAGACGCATGCGCCGTCAAAATAAACAACAGAGGAAGGAGACTCAACCCCAGCAAGTTGGCGAGTCCTCTGTCTCTTCCGCGCCATCGAGCAGCAAAGCTGAAGAAAGACGCATGCGCCGTCAAAATAAACAAGAGAGGAAGGAGACTCAACCTCAGCAAGTTGGCGAGTCCTCTGTCACTTCCGCGCAAGCCCATGGAGAAGTCGATGGTAAGGTCGTAACACCAGACCGAGTTGCGCCCCTCGAGCTCGATCCAACTGACCCGCCCAGGGCTGAATTGGACAACGACATATCTGAGGCACGAGATCTTGGACAAGAACCAGAATCTTCATTGAACGGTCAGTGCCTCAATGACGCTCATGATTCTTGCTACCATTCATCAGGATGTTTATGTATTTGTGTCCATAAGGATGTGGATTTATGGGTCCGTAAGCACGTTTATTAATGTGTCTATAAGGATGTGGATTTATGGGTCCGTAAGCACGTTTATTAATGTGTCTATAAGGATGTGGATTTATGGGTCCGTAAGCATGGGTTTATTAATGTGTCTATAAGGATGTGGATTTATGGGTCCGTAAGCACGTTTATTAATGTGTCTATAAGGATGTGGATTTATGGGTCCGTAAGCATGGTTATTAATGTGTCTATAAGGATGTGGATTCATGGGTCCGTAAGCATGGTTATTTATATGTCTATAAGAATGTGGATTTATATGGCTATAAGGATGTAGATATGTGTCCATAAGGATGTTGATGCTTCGAATTTAAAGTGTGGTGCCCTGGTTATTCATTGCAGAAGAACTGAGGGGCCTGGCTCTGCAGGCCAAAGACAATCTCGAGTATTCGAGATCTACTGACGCAAACTCAACAGGGGGGAGGAGCCGACCCTATCGCGCAGCCGGTTAGTAAATCGTTCAAACTGCTGATGTTGTGAATTGACATTTGCTACCAATCATAATTAATAATACCATGTGGGTAAACTTGCACCTCCTTTGCCTTACAGCACTCAAACCATCAGTGGTCTTGAGTCGTGTTGACGCCGAGCTGTCGACCGATGAGTCAGACGGTGGCAATCAAGCCTACGTTCCCCAGCAAGAATCTCAAGATTCCTCGGACGGGCGCAGTGCTACCGACGGTGAGAAGGCTGGCGAAGACGCCTATCAGCGCAAGCTCCGGCTTCGGCGCGAGGCAAGACGCGCACAGTCACAGCGAGAAGGCAGGCGCTTTAAGCGCCCATCTGGTTCTCTAAAAAATGTCCATTTGCCAAATTTTGATAGTTACGGAAGGCCTTATAGCCAAGCTCCTATGGCTTTGGCGAGCAGAAGGCGTCGGCTGGCGTTGAGTGCCCTTGGGGAGCCCAGATCCGCCCCGTCTCGGAAAAGGGCGCTCACTCCAAGCCAGTTGCTTGATCCCCAAAAGTTGACAACCACGCGTGACGGCGTGAACATATTCTTGAATGTTGCCGCCCGCTCGCAGCGAAGCGGCAATTTGGATGTGCCCCCTTGCCACGAGGAGCCCATTCTTGGCAGGACATCACAGGATGACCTTAGGAGCTTATTGCCTGATACGTCCTCGATGCTTTACGACATCGAGAGGTACATAATCAAAGTCGTCGCCAGGAGGACTATTATGGCTGCCTTCGGCTTCGATAGGTAAGAATTTTCTTGTTCCCGTTGAAAAGATCTGGCTTACATGGTATATATAGTTAACATGTCTCGTATCATTGCCTGATGCACGTGATGATGATGCACTTTATTTTCTCCTACGAGCAGCGAGCAGAAGAAGAACAAGAAGGCGAGGCAAGACAAGGCTATTGATGACGAAGGAGAAGCATCCATGCCTGGAGGTGGCGATGAGCACGACGGCAACTCTCAGAAGTCAGGGAAGGCCGCTGGTGAGACGCGCGCTGCAGCTCCTGGTCATGACCACGACGAAACATCTTCGTCTACAAGCGAAGCAGACGACGTTGCTAGCTCTTCTAAGTACGTGTATGATATATTTAACCCATGCAAAAAAAATGGTAAGATAAAATATAGAAATAGGCTTTCAGCATCCGCCATATTGTTTTCGCTAATAGGTATCTTGTCTCTTTGGCACACAGCAAGACGGCCCCCCTAGGAGCGGGTTCACGAAACCGGCCTCAGACTCCCGACCGATTACAATACGAGTGTCTCATTCCTTCATGCAATGGGCTGACCAAGCCGCGTCACATGCGAAGACATTATGAGTCAATTCATGGCTTCTCGGAAGAGAATGCCAAACTGCTTCATAACTGCCATCGGCGCTTACATGATATTGACACTAGACAGACATCTAAACCGAGAATGTCTGCACGAGAACTTGGCGACAGAGAAAATCTCGTATTAGCTCTAATTCGAAACTTGCAAACTCCCTTGCCCTGTGCAAATGAAGATATGTCCGTTGCATTGTTGCCTCTGGCACTGCTAAGTATCTTGGTTGATGGACGAGGGAGTGGCCACATCTATGAGGCACAAGTGGCTACCCTCAAACAGAGAATTGAAACTGGAAAAACTGACGCCGAAGTACTGGCCAGTGCGGCAGCTCTAAACAGCGAAGACTCGGACATGGAATGCAGTGGAATGTTTCAATCTGGGTCTGGAGGAGCCGAAACGAAGACCGTGGTGGCGCAGTCAAAGAGTTTTCCTGCTGCAGAGGACAAAGATGATGAAAGGGATGACGATCCCGTAGATTGCCAAGGACGGGCCTTCTGTTATCTTGGCCAAGACGAAACCCCAATAAAACGCTGGGTCTCTTTGTGTCCTCAGTGCTTCAGTCCATTCGCCATTCTGAAGCTAAGAGACCACCTGAAAGCTACACATAAGAAGAATGCTGCAGCAGCCACTGCCGCATTTGAAATGGCTTCTCTCCATAAACGTCTTGTGCGCTTATCTGCCATACCCTTGAATGGACAACCGCTAGCCAAATATGTACCTCCAACGGCCGTAGAGGAACTCAGGGAGGCATTTGGGAGGGCCCAGGGAGCTCGTACTCTATTGGCCATGGAACCGAGGCCGGTTCAAATTGTGGAAGTTGGAGATGGTCTCAACAGCCTGAAACGAGGGCCAGGTACGTCTCTAGTGACTCAAGCCTTCATTCATTACAAGTCACCAGAGTTCAAAGAATCGTTCCCAAAGTTGTCGCGTGTTCTGAATGACTTCCACCTCAGCCTCATTGCTTTGGAAAAACCCGAAAAAGGCCATGCTGCAGCTACTAAGACGTTCAAGGAATTTCTCAGTATATTCTTGACTCATTTATTCAATATTCCTGCGGAGAAGCGAACCGATATGGAAATTAAAGAAGTTTTGATGCAGCTCAACACGGCTATGACGGTGTACAGGCAGAAGGTGGGTGGCAACATGATGCCAGATTCCATCAAACGCTACATGTGCTCCGTGGTCCGCTTTGCTTCATATGTCAACTCCCTCAATCTCCCGGCAAAAGTCATTGGCAATTACTCATTGTCCAATATCGAGAACCTCGTCAAAAGCCAAAAGCGAATCATTAGCGATGATGTCGAAACTTACGCTCATTTTAAGACTATTGGACGGAATGTGCGCAGGCATACGCCTACTAGAGAAAGCTTCCGATTTGGAAGCCCTGTCATTGCTGCATGGCTGGAAAAAGGGCCCAGGAGGAGGAAGCAGCCCTTGGCACCACAGCACAGCGAAGAGGAGCAAACAGCAGCGAACGCACATGCCATGGAAGACGCTCCTAATGAGAATGATCCTAGCCTAGCTACTGATGCTCACTTGGATCTGGAAGTAACCACTCAGGTAGACAGAGATGATGTGGAAAGATATGATGCGCAAAAATCTCCAATCTTGCCACCAACACAGACATCAAGCAGCACCAAAGAGGGCAAGACCGGTGGTCAGCACAAGCAGAAAATGAAATTTTAGGCCTAACTTACGATTACAAAAAGTCGTCGATATCAGTGGATGAGCCCAGTGCTCGGTCTTCAGCCGTGTTTGAAGTATCGAGCGAGTCCGTGATATCTATGGATGAACCAAACAACGCCCGGGATTATTTAGGATGATTAAGTTTTGTGAATGGATGCTCCAAGTAAGTAAAACTGAAGACGCTATGGTATCGATAGCTGAGCCAAGTAACACCCCCGGCAGATCTTGAGAAGGATGAGGAAAAGCCTCAACTGCTGACAGAGGCCGTGGGTGCTTGGGGAGGAGCGATGAGTCGTCAGGGCACCCACGAGGAAGTTCTGAACTCCTACAAGAGGGCGGCAACTCTGTTGTTCTTGAGGCATCTGAGGCCATCTCGTCTGTTGGGCTCCACAGAACTACTCTTAATTGTAACAACACTCGTAAGAGCTCACGCAAAATAAGAGCGCACAACGTGTCTTGTGCTTGCCGAACTAGAGACATTCTTCCGAGAAGATGCCACAAAAAATTGTAATTTTTAATAATTACCCCATTCTAAACGGCAAAATGAGGCTCAAGCTCTGGAAATATTGTATTTCAGTTTCTAGCATGTGGTACAATGTGTCTGTGCTAATGTATCAAATAAAATGGACTTTTCCTTTAATGATATTCTATAACAAGTTTACGTGATCTTACCTTATAATGTGAACTAATCTAATGAACTTTAATTTGTTGGCTAATGCTAACGACGTTTTATGATAATATGTTTACTTGAACTTACCTTATAATGAGAAGCTTATCTAACGGAAACTTTAATTTGTTGGCTAATGCTAACGACGTTTTATGATAAGATGTTTACTTGAACTTACCTTATAATGAGAAACTTATCTAACGGAAACTTTATAATTTGTTGGCTAATGCTAACGACGTTTTATGATAAGATGTTTACTTGAACTTACCTTATAATGAGAAGCTTATCTAACGGAAACTTTATAATTTGTTGGCTAATGCTAACGACGTTTTATGATAAGATGTTTACTTGAACTTACCTTATAATGAGAAGCTTATCTAACGGAAACTTTATAATTTGTTGGCTAATGCTAACGACGTTTTATGATAAGATGTTTACTTGAACTTACCTTATAATGAGAAGCTTATCTAACGGAAACTTTATAATTTGTTGGCTAATGCTAACGACGTTTTATGATAAGATGTTTACTTGAACTTACCTTATAATGAGAAGCTTATCTAACGGAAACTTTATAATTTGTTGGCTAATGCTAACGACGTTTTATGATAAGATGTTTACTTGAACTTACCTTATAATGAGAAGCTTATCTAACGGAAACTTTATAATTTGTTGGCTAATGCTAACGACGTTTTATGATAAGATGTTTACTTGAACTTACCTTATAATGAGAAGCTTATCTAACGGAAACTTTATAATTTGTTGGCTAATGCTAACGACGTTTTATGATAAGATGTTTACTTGAACTTACCTTATAATGAGAAGCTTATCTAACGGAAACTTTATAATTTGTTGGCTAATGCTAACGACGTTTTNGCATCATACATTGATCTCATGCATCATACATTGATCTCATGCATCATACATTAATCTCAAGCATCATACATTGATCTCAAGCATCATACATTGATCTCAAGCATCATACTTTGATCTCATGCATCATACTCTGATCTCATGCATCATACATTGATCTCCTGCATCATACATTAATATCAAGCATCATACACTGATCTCATGCATCATACATTGATCTCTGCATCATACATTGATCTCTGCATCATACATTGATCTCTGCATCATACATTGATCTCACTAGGCTCAGTAGCACCGAGCTTGCTAATACGTCAGATTTATATTGGAGATATTTAAGTTGTAATTTAGTTAAAATGGAAAAAGTCTTCGAAATTATCCTCGATGCAGAAATTTCAAATTTCCTCAAATTCCTCAAATTTGCGATTTCCTCGAAGATATCCTCGATGCAGAAATTGTAATGGAAGGATTCCAACACTATACTGCACGGACCGAAAGGAAGGGAGAAAGAAGGGTGGAATAATTGTCTACCTTAGGAACTACCTCGCAAGAAGCACTGTAGAATTGAGATCGAAATCTGGAAACTCTGACGGCTTTGTCAAACATGTGCTACTCTGCATAAAAAAATTTGACTTGTGCGTAGCCATAGTCTAAATACCGCCTGCTTGCCCACCGGACAATTTCAACAAAACTCTTAAGGAAATAGAGACCAGGTTGGCTGAACTGGGTGACCCAGCCCCCAGCCTAATAATTGGAGGGGACTTCAATCTCCCATGGAATCCGTTGGACAAGCCCTGACAGCTTATAGGTCGATTACCGCGACACAAGTAATGAAGCCCAAATTGTGAAGTTTGCTGCGGAAATTTGCTCAGTCAGGTACGATTGCCGACAAGGAAACACAATATCCTCGATCTCTTCTTCACTAATGATGAAAGAATGGTAGTTGACGTTCGGGTTGGTGCACCCGATCTTCATCTCTGTTGGGAGCTTGCATGTTGCGAATGTCAAGACATATAACGGGAGGTCCACCAGGGCTCCATGTAACTTCTTCATTTGGTAGATTGATTTAACGTTATAGCGGCTGAGATGCTCTTTTAGTTTTTCGACTGGATCCTTAGGCTCATTTCGGTAGTAGATGGTTCCTTTTGTTTCATTCAGTGCACCGTGCCGTTCGACGGTGACAGGAACCGCTGCTAATGACTTTATGTTTAGTATGGATTCACTCTGAGCTTTGCTTTTTACTTCCACAATGAGGGCTCCGTCGCGGGTCTCGTGCACATTTTTCGGCTCACTGCCCAAAGAGAGGACATGTTGCCGGTCAGCCAGAACTACGTCAATGGCAGCTAGGCTCTCACCCGTCGTCGACGAGACGCGGAATAAGTGAGGGTAATCTCAGTTGCGGGCTTCTAGGGCTGGCTGCGTTTGTTTTCATGTTCCTCGTTTAGAATTCTTATTTTGCCCGGCCCTGCCAGAGGGCGCGGGCTAAACGGCTCCAGTATCGTGATCAACGAAAGACCGTCGTCCATCACTGGAGTCGCAGGGGATGTTCCGGTCGTCAAGGAAGTATCGGCTGAATGAGGTTTTTTTTAGAGTGGCAAGCGCATGGCTTTAGGTACTCCTTTCAGGGGAGGTCTCCCTCCCCCTATCCTGGCTGGCTCAAACCGGAAGGAGGACCCTCGGGGATCAGTATCCTACTGCAGCATCTCTGCTGTTAGGTGGGCGAACACCAATTGATAGATGTAAATACCCCTCCTACCGACAGCCCGAGTCCAAGGCGGCCCTTAAATGTTACCCCGAGAATACAAAGCCTTTTAACCCGTAACTACCCGGGCCCGGTTTGTTTTACCCCGACGGGATCATGGGGTAGCCTTCCCCATGCATGTTCCGAGGACCCGGCGGGCCGCAGCAGCCTAAGCTGTCGCCCCCCACCGCGTTCCCGTCGGGCCCCGTTAGTTTGAACACTCGGGCTGTCCAGTTTGTCATTATTGAATCTACCAGGGAAACCCCGACTACACAGCCCCAGCCGTTTAGTGACATAAAGCGTTTAAGTGGCGTTTAGTGACATAAATGGACTTATTATTTTTCTTTTCTTCTGCTTTAAGCAAGTGGATTTCTTCCAAAAGTTGTTTGTTCTCATTTGCCAAATTTTTCTTTTGCTTCACATCTCAAATTTTGAAGCTGCTGATAGCATTCATACAGTGTGTCATACATTACTTTTGTGTTCAGTGGTCCACAAATTTGATACTCGCGAGAATCTGAAGAAGTGCCAATGGCTGTACCTAAAAAGTTAGCTTTTGGAATAGAGGATGCATGAGTGTTTCCACCAAGTAGGTTAGACAGAGGTTGAAAGTGTGTTGGACAAGGTTCTCGAGACGGTCCTGGACCCAACAAAGTTAACCAATTACCCCTGATCCTTCAATATTATTACGAACATTTACCTTAAATCTTGCCCAACAAAGTTAACCAATTACCCCAGATCCTTCAATATTATTACGAACAATTACCTTAAATCTTGCCCAACAAAGTTAACCAATTACCCCTGATCCTTCAATATTATTACGAACAATTACCCTCAAATCTTACCCAACAAAATTAACTAATTACCCCTAATCCTTCAATATAATTACGAAAAATTACCCCCGAATCTGCGTAAACAGCTTAACAGGGTACCGATCATGAATCCTACCCAACAAAATTAACCAATTACTCCCGAATCACGACTTAACGATCATTTACCCCGATTGAGTCATTCGAGTCATTTACCAGGCTGGAGTCATTTGAGTCAAATCAGCTTGAAACCTTGAGTCAGTTTTTTTTCATGGTGCACATCGTCTGGTAGCTGAACGCACTCTTAAATTATCCTCCACAAAAACTCGCTCCAGATCTAGGACCGGTCTGGCAGAGGTAAGATCATCGCGCTAATATCGAGAGTGAACATGCTGTATTTGCCCTCGACCGCGAAGTTGATCTGTAATACATTAAGCACTGAACTTCCGTCGAGTGAGGATATTTCAGAAGGTGATCCTTACTTATTGATCTCGTACGGAAGAATAAGTACATAATGAGCGCGCTATCAAAGCAACAAATTGATACGTTGAAAAAAGCTAAGGAAGAACTGAAGATCATTGAGTGTGTGATTGATGAAGCTCTATCGAATAAGGAAAAATATGAAGAAATGCAAGATTGGATCGTCAAAAATGCAATTGGAATTCCCGAACCACTTAAACTGTACACGAAAAATCTTTTCAAGGTAGAGAAAAGAGTGAAACGAAGAAATATAGTAAAGCCGGAAGAAACGAACGCATGGTTAATGAAGAACAAGATTGAGAATAAAATACCACCTCCTGATCAACCTGATGATATGCGTGATGATTATGATGAACTACTCAAATTTTTATCCAAAGCAAAGAGCGCAGTAAAATCAGAAAAAAACAGTTTCTTGAGAACTAAAATTGTGTTTGGACATTTTCTGGATCGTTTCTACGAAAAACATCGGACTAAGCAAATATGTTAAGAGATCAAAACATCCCTCAAAACTGTTTTATCCGAGCAGTTTGATATAAGTATTTCACACGGCAATCGCCTCCGATGGTTGGGAAAGCTTGGCTATAAATATCGAAAACTCATGGACGTGTCAATATCTCTGTATGAACTATTCAGGAAGCAGAAGTAGATAAAATACTTAAAAAACACGTTTTTCTTGTGGACTAAAAAGTAGAAAATAAATTATGGTTCGCCCTAAAAAAACGTGTGTCGGGCAGATTTATGATTAAAGCGAAAAGCA